CCTGAGCCCTGAGCCTGAGCCTCAGCCTGAGCCCCGCTGTGACGGGGCTCAGGGGGTGTGGTCTGCAGTCACTGAAGCATCTGCTCAGGGAACACAGCGGGGAGGGACCCTCAGCCCACACAGCAGCACAGAGCCTTCCCAGCAGGTGCCACCGGGCACCCTGGGTGCCTTCCCCTACACAGGACCTAGAGCGTCTGCCCTCCAGAGCCCCGGCCTGAGTCTGCGAGCTCCGCGACGCTCAGCACCATCACAGCTGAGACACAGCAGCCCAGCGGGCAGTCCAACCCTGGCCGCCCTGCTCCCTGCGAGCTGACCTGGCCGAGGTTCCGACGGTCCTCAGACCAAGGCCAGTCACAGCTCACAGAGGGGCCGGATCGGGGAGCACACACTTCCTCGGGCACCGTCTCTAGCTCGTCTTGGAGGAAGGCGGGCGCTGAGCCCTACTGGCCACGGGGGTCCTAACCCACAGAGCAGGGTCCACAGCAGCTGTGCCACCGCCACGTGTGGCAGGGCGGGCTGAAGGCGTCTTACCTCCGCAGGCAGGAAGCGGGCAGCCCCGCCAGACCTTTGCACATCTTTGCTGCGGGTTGGCGTTCGCCGCAGGAGGAGACAGAGGAGCTGGGAGCCAAGCGCTCTGCCCTGTCTGCCTGTAGATGCTTCAGATCCCGGCTCCCTGCGCCTGCCGGTCTCATTTAAAGCCCAGCCACCCGGGGAAGCCAATCAGCGGCGCTGTAACAACGCCTCTGCAGCCAATCAGCGTTGCTATGACACCCCCGCGGGGCCTCTGCAGCCTCCGCAGACATTAGGAGGCGGGACGCGCCGCGTGAAGCGCAGGAAAACCTCTCCCAAAGCAGACGCACAGCAAGCTGGTTCCTCCCTGTCTCTGCCCACGTCGGAGGCTTTGAATTTCCAGAAGAGGGGAGAGGGCACCTCTGTGTTGCTGCAAACCATGGGGTTCACTCATTTCTCTGTAAAAACAACGCCAGGGGCAGTTGCCCAACAAGGAGAGCCCCCGCAGGACGGCGTTTAGCTGGGGCTGACTCACCTTCCGTTTTTTTGGATTAGAAATAGCGGACCGCGGGGTCCCAGCTCTCACCTTCCTGTTCCCAGGCTGGGTCTGCAGGGGTGACCGCAGGGTGGCCATGGCCACACAGGGCTGGGAGGGCAGACCACGCAGCTGCTCCGCCTGGCTGTGGATCCTCTTCTAGAACTCCCGCTCAGGGCGGGATTCAGCCCAGCAGCCAGGGCCTCTCTGCCTCCAGCAAAGAGCTGCCACACAGCAGCCGGACGGAGGGAGAGGAGCAAATGGCTTATCCCATTGCCTACGCACCCTGAGTCTCCAACCCGGATTTCAAACTATGAGAAAGACAGAGAGAAAAACGTGTGTCTGCCTTGCATGTCACAGTCTTCAGAGTGAACATAGGCGATTGACCCCCGTGCTTCTGAGCGCCTGGACAACTCCAGGGTTGTCTACAGTAGATGGACTGCTGTTCCAACAGTCGCAGCCCCGAAGCTGTGAGGGAGGAGACGTTCGTGCCTGTGTCGGCCAGCAGCGTTCTGAAAGTAGAGGCCCCTGCGCACAAGACCCCGGAGCCGTACTTTACGTATAAGAAGTAGACAGCCCTGGCCGGTTTGGCACAGGGGATAGAGCGCCGGCCTGCGGACCAGAGGGTCCCGGATGAGATTCTGGTCAAGGGCCCTGGTCAGGGCTCGTGCAAGAGGCAACCGATCAGTGTGTTTCTCTCACATCAATGTTTCTCTCTGTCTTTCCCTCTCTCCTCTACTCTCCCTAAAAATCAGTGGGAAAATATCCTCAGCTGAGGATCAACAACAACAAAAAAAGCTGAGACATCTAGTGATTAGGACGATGCAGAGGGATGGGTGCCAGTGAGAAGTGAGGGCAATGTGGTAAGACTCGTCCCCGCCACATCTGAGCCCCCAAAACCCCACACAGACCCCACCTCACCTGGCAAACGCCCCACGCGGACCCCACCTCGCCCGGCCACGGCGAGCACAGCAAGGAGATGGCTGAGAGGTGTAGACAGGTGGAGGGGCCATAATCGCCAGAAGAAGCATTTAAATTGTAGGAAAAGTCTCCCATGAGGTAAAAAGCATTTATTAGATTGGTGACGGGCAACTTTTCCTTGAGGGGCCACACAGAACAGATTGTTTCTCTGGTGGCCTCGTAGAAGGGATGGCAGTGCGATGCAGAATGGCAGAGAACACCAAGCTAGGGGGCGAGCCGCTCAGAAATGTATCAAAGAGGAGAGATGATTGAAAGGGAGAGAAGGGCCCTGACCGGTGGCTCCGTTGATTGGAGTGTCATCCTCTCTACTGAACGGCCGCAGGTTTGATTCCTGGTGAGGGCACATCGGTGGGGGGTTTGATTCTAGTCGAGCACGTATGGGAGACATCCAATGTTTCTCTCTTACATCGGTGTTTGTCTTGTTTCTCTTTACCTCCCCATCTCTCTAGAACTAATAGACACGCTCGGGTGAGGATAAAAAAACTAAAAGGGAGAGAAGGTCACCCAAGAGAGTGACCATTCAAGTCTTTAGATTTGAGGCACATGAATGAAGACCCAGCAAGAACTTGACATCTTGGGCAGAGATCAAAGAATAGCTCCAACAGAGGGGCCGAACGGGGTTTAAATGACCCAGACTGACACCCTC